TTAGGAAAGGGTGAGCGAAGGAAGATCGATGCTTTTGAACTGTGGTGTTGGAGGAAATTCTGAAAGTGCCTTGGACTGCGAGAAGATCCAACCAGTCCATACTTCAGGAAATAAAGCCCGACTGCTCATTGGAGGGAAGGATACTAGAGACAAAGTTGAAGTATTTTGGTCACATCATGAGGAGACAGCAAAGTCTAGAGAAGACAATTTTGCTGGGGAAAGTGGAAGGTAAAAGGAAGAGGGGCCGACCAAGGGCAAGATGGATGGATGGCATCCTTGAAGTGACTGGACTGACCATGAAGGAGCTGGGGATGGTGACTGCCAACAGGGAGCTCTGGCGTGGGCTGGTCCATGAGGTCACGAAGAGTCGGAGACGACTGAACGAATGAACAACAAAATTCTGCCAGGTATTTTGGACTTCAACTTGTGGAAGCCTCAGCTTGTGTCTGAACCAATGATCAGGGGTGCTGGGAGTGAAGTCCAAAATCCTCGGAAGATCAGAGTTTGGGAAACATTGGAATTGTCTGATTCAGAAGCCAGTAGAAGGATCACAGGTATATTTGTAAACTTCAATTTCAATGAAGGAAAGCCAAAATGAAATTTCAGCAGTAGCCAAGAGTGTGTTTGTACAGTTAATGCTGGTGCATGAACTGGGGCCGTTCCATAAGACATCTGATCTGCCCATGGTGACACATGTCCTAGTTATATACTCTAACAAGCCTTTGAGGGCCTGTCATTGAAGAGTGTTCAGACACTTCACTTGGTCCAGAAATCTTCAGCCAAAAAGCTTCAGACAGACTATTAATGAGCTCATTACAGGGAACATAGAACAGCTCCACTCATTACCAGTTTGTTTTCAGGCAAAATGAAAAATATTGGTTATGACGAATAAAGCCTAACACAGTTTAGAGCAGTGGTTCTCAACCTGTGATTCCCCAGGTGTTTTGGCCTACAACTCCCAGAAATCCCAGCCAGTTTACCAGCTGTTTAGATTTCTGGGACTTGAAGGCCAAAACATTTGGCGACCCACAGGTTGAGAACCACTGGTTTAGAGCCAAGCTATCTGGCACACTGTACCTTCTACTATGAACCTGTGTCCCTAAAATTGGGAAGCTATCTTAAAAAGAAGGGTGATCCAACCTTCCATATAATGTGTGGCAAATTCACTCTATCCAGCATAATAAGAAGTGATGGGATTTGCATCTCAATGACGCTGGAAGGCTGCATGATCCTTGCCCTTGCTCTAAAACCATCCCAGTTGGCTCATAATGGTGTCTGAGAAGGCGCTCAGCTAAAAGGTTAAAGGTGTTTATTACTCATACCAGCGTCACACTATTAAGAAAATACATAGCAGAAGTCCTTAAATTGATATTGGAGAACAACTACGGCCCTAGACAACTTTGTAGTTGACATATTGTATTGCCAAATGTAACCACGAAAAAAGCGTTCCATTGTAATATCTACTTCTGCTGAAGTTACTGTTATAGTGTGCCTTAGAGTTGTTTCTGAGATGGATCAGATCTGTCAGAGAAGAAAATCTATCAAGGATTTTTTCCTTGAAAATCTATCAAGGATCTATCAAGGATAATTTTCTTAGCAAAATGTGTTGGGTGGTGGTTGGCTTTGCCTCCTCTGAAGCTGAAAGTGAGACATGCCCCCCCCCCCCATGAGTTTCCATTGCCAAGAGGGGATTTGAACCCTGGTCTCCAGAGTCTGAGTCCTATACTCAAATCACAACACCACACTGTTTCTCACTTCTACTGATGCTAAGCCTATAAAAAAAAATCTACATTTTTATCAAATAGCACCTACTTCTTATACCAAGTAAATTATTTTTGAGGTGCTTCAGATTGTAGAACTGGAAAATAACAATTGCAGCACTCTCCTGATTGTGGGGCACATTGAGATGGGTAGCTAGGGACACCCTTCAGAATTGTGCTATAGCTATTCGTTTCAACACCCAGAGGCGGCCCTAGGTAATTTTCAACGGTAAGCAAACAGTATTTTGGCGCCCCCCCCCCCCAACCAATCATTGATATATATTTTCTGTTTGTCGTGGGAGTTCTGTGTGCCATATTTGGTTCAATTCCATCATTGGTGGAGTTCAGAATGCTCTTTGATTGTAGGTGAACTATACATCCCAGTAACTACACTTGCCGCATTTGCTCCCTTGCCTGGCCCAGTTTGGGTCCGGAGGCGTGCCTGAAGACCCCAGCGTGTGCACCAAAAGTCACCTCTTCTCCTGACTTTCTCTTCAGCCATTGGGACCGAGAGAGAGAGAGAGAGAGAGAGGTGTAGATGCCCACCTTTCCTGAAGGTAGGCGCAAAAACAAAGGAGGGAGCGGAGGTGGGAGATACCTCCAGCCGGAAGGGCTCTCTCTCTCTCTCTCTTGCCCCTGGCAAAAAAAAAAGTGTTCTGCGACTGCTTACTTCGCGTAATGGACGAGCCACCCCTGAACACACCCCACAACCAGAAGAATTCTTGTAGTCATCACATCCTAGCCCTTTGTCTGGGATGTTGCTTGGCTAAAGAAGTAAGTTTTAAGGGTCACGTTTAATCATTAGTGACCATAAATGTGAATAAGCTTGCAGTCTTATAAATATTGAACAGGAGCCAGCATACGTACAGGCAGTCCCCAAGATACAAACATCCAACTTGCAAATTACTCATAGTTAAGAACAAGGGGTGAGAAAACAGGAAGTGAGAGAAATCTGCCCCTTGGAAGGGAAATTCACTCCTGAAAGAGTTGTCATGGGGAAAAGGCATCTCAACTGAAGCTTTCTCGCCAATTTTTTCAAAACCAATTATCACAGGGACAGAAAGTGAGGTGAAATCCTTTGAACAGGTACACAGACAGCAAACCAAACACTACAAGGGTGTTGACCCTTCCCCATGCTATCCAAAACTAGACAGATAGATTGAGGCTGGATTTACACTTCAAAAATGTACCAGTTGTGACTTACAAATAAATTCAACTTAAGAACAAATCTACTAAATCTATCTTGTTCGTAATATGGAGATTGCCTGCATAGAAATTTAAAGTAAGTAGAATAGTTTATTTTAATGTGAACTAGACTTTTACTCACACAATAAGTTCTACCAGCAGCACTTGTTTGCCTCATTTTTGAGAACTGACATGGCTGCTCTGCTGAAAACTGTTAGAATGGATAATGCCAGGTGAAGTTGAATTAAAATTTATTTATTTCAAGATATTTCTTTGCATCCAAGGAAGTGGGTTCCTGTTTCACAAACTTCCAGGTTCTATACATGGGTAAACCAACAACCCAATGAAAGAAGTTTTGTTAAATATCCTGATATATGAACTCAAATTATTCATAAAGGTAGTAAGATTAAGATGAGACACACCATTCCTCTCTAGCCCCAAGAGTGCAACCGTACTTTTATTCATGCTTGGATCCTGAATGAAAAGGATTCCCAGTAACTGCTGCAGTTTGGTTCCAGGATCCCAGTGGATAGTAAAATCATGTGTGCTCAAGTTTCATGCTATGCAACAGTGAAGTAAAATGGTGTTTCTTGTACAAATTGGTGAACAACTCAATCAGCTGCCTGTGAAATGCTAGGAAGGTACACCAGCTCATATCAATATAGTGCTCAGTATGCAACAAAATCAAGGCTTTGCTTTTTGGAATGCTTTTGTAAATATTTTTGTTCCATTCGTGACTGAATCTATGGATGAAAAGCCCATGGATATGGGGGGCCAACTATAACTACTAATATTAATTTGGTACACCTAAGTATATCTGCGACCGTACCTTGTGAAGGTGGTCAATGCCTTAGTCACCTCCAGATTGGACGACTGTAATGCACTCTACATGGGGCTGCCCTTGAAAATGGCCCAGAAATTCCAACTGGTCCAACGGGCGGCGGCCAGGTTGTTAACTGGTGCTCCTTACAGGGAGAGGTCAACCCTCCTGTTTAAGGAGCTCCATTGGCTGCCGTTCATCTTCTGGTCCCAATTCAAGGTGCAGGTGCTTACCTACAAAGCCCTAAACGGTTTGGGACCCGCCTACCTGCATGACCGCATCTCTGTATATGAACCCACACGATCTCTTGGATCATCTGGAGAGGCCCTGCTCACAATCCCACCTGTGCCGCAAGTGCGATTGGTGGGGACGAGGGACAGGGCCTTCTCTGTGGTGGCCCTCCGACTCTGGAACTCTCTCCCCAAGGACATCAGACAAGCCCCAATGTTGGCAGTCTTTAGGAAGAGCTTGAAGACGTGGTTGTTCCAGTGTGCCTTCCCAGAATAGGAAACTCCAAGCATCATGTCCCAAATGCACTTTACTAGAGATTTAAGATTATTTGCATACCGCACCTATCTCCAAAAACCTATCCATTTCACTTGGTCATGTCCAGCATTTTTTTTAAATTTTAATCATTACATTTGGCCCGGCCTTAGATTTTATCTGCGTCGTGGTGTTATTGTTTAATGTTTATTGTTTTGCTTTGTTTTATGAGTTTATTTATTGTTGTATTTGTTATGCTACTGTTTTACTGTTGTATCTGGCCTTGGCCTCTTGTAAGCTGCACCGAGTCCTTCGGGAGATGTTAGCGGGGTATAAATAAAGGATTATTATTATTATTATTATTATTATTATTATATCTAGTTTATATTATAAGGACTGAGATGCAAAGTTCTTTCGAAGTGTGGGTGTCGAAAGAAAATATTGAAGCACCTAAATAATTTTGGCACTTGGAACAACTTTGTCTCATAGTAGACATTATTAGCAGTATCTCTGCACATAAAAACACATAAGTGCAAAAAAGTAGTAAAGGGAATGTGGCTAAAAGTTTAGAGTAAAGGATGGGTGTGGTCAGCTTAAATGAAATTGTTCATATATACAATATACACTTCCTGTTTCCACAATGGAAAATACAGAAAGAACGAAAGGAAAGTGGACCATCTCTTCTCATATGATACAGTATTTAAGTTGAAGACATCTTTCAAATTGAGTAATCTTTCTTTCTGATGAAATAGTAGCTTTGCTCACTGCGGTTTGTGCACGTTTTGAGCCAACCCACAGCTTCATCTCTCACATCATCATAATAAAGTCTTATTACCTTCACAGGTGAGCTGAAAGTCTCTCCCTCTCTGCCTCTTTCTAATACACTCATACTCTCTCTCACACTCTCACACATTTACACTCTGTGTTGTTGTCAGGGCTCTGTTTCACACCAAGACTCTGTAACTTGAAAGATCTATCTCTCTTCTCCTGCAGTTCGAAATACTTGTTTCCTGCGTGCTTTGGACTAAGAAAAAATTGAACATCTCTACCTGCCTGGCATCTGATTGTGAGATGGTGGCCCTTTTTCTCACCATTGCCTTTTCCAGCATTATGACTGGCTTCTCCAAAGGTGAGTTTTCAAGAGAGGTCCAAGATCGAAAAACACTGTTCTCTGCAGAACAGTAATCCAGAAAAGAGAAATAGACTGAAAACTAGGACTGTTATTAATGTTTTGTTAGTGCTGCTATTGTTTATGATGATGCCGATGTTATCTGAACTTGGCTGTGTACATGGTGTTGTCTACAGATGAGAGGACAGGTCCCCTCCGCAGGGAACTTGCAATCTATTATGCACTTATTTTACACATGTTTCTACTTTGCTATTTAGTAAACAACAACAAGAAAGAGACAGAGTTCCCAGAATGGTTCAATAGAATCGGAAAAAAACCCTGTCTTTCTATCTGTAATCTAAAGCAGGCTTCTTAATTTGTTTTCTACTTGCAACTCCTTTCTGCCCAAGAAATTTTCATGCAAACCCAAGTATGTAGGTATATAAAATCAAATATTTACTGATTTAAAAAATCCACATTTGTAAGGGTTGATTTTCCTTTTTCTGAAGTTCAAACTATGATGAAAAGATGATTTGTTTAATAAGTCATGCTTAAACAAATTTATTTATTTATTTACAGCTATTATATTCCGCCCTTCTCACCCCGCAGGGGACTCAGGGCGGTTTACAGTGTACACATATATGGCAAGCATTCAATGCCAATTTGACATACAACATATACAGACAAAGACAGAGGCTATTTAACTTTTTCTGGCTGCCAGGGAAGCTGTTGCTTTCATCGTCCATCTGCGACACTGATGAAGTACTTCTGCATTCCCTGCATGCTTTTGCTGGAGTCTTTTTTATGGCCTCATAAATTAGTTAATTTAGCCTCCCCACACTTTAAGGTGGTACCTTATTTTCCTACTTGACAGATGCAACTGTCTTTCGGGTTGCAAAGGTTGACAACAGGCTACACAATTGGTTGGAAACCCACTCCAACCCGGGCTGGCTTCGAACACATGACCTTTTGGTCAGAGTGATCTTAATGCAGCTGATACTCAGCCAGCTGCGCCACAATCCCTGTGCATTCATTTTCAAAATGCATATAAACTGTGTACATTTGATTCAGCCCAGATGACAGGAGACAGGAAAACTTGTACAGAACCAGAGCAGAACAACATTGGTGGTAAAGAACAGGAATGTTGACACAATCACACTTTATACATCAGCCTTATCCATATCAAGGATCTCAAGACTACTTTTTCCTATGGTGAAGATCTATTTTGTTTAGACATGTTTAATTATGATGTCTGCATCTTTGTTGTTTTTCCTGCAGTCATGGAAGTGACCCAGCCAGTGTTCACAGTGGCAAAAAGCCAAGGGGCTGCCAACTTCCAGTGTGGATTCACAAACACTGAGGATGCAAGGGAACTCAGAATAACTTTGCTTAAACAGAGGGACAATGAGTCCATCCAGATCTGTGCATCTTCCTTTCCTTCGGAGGAAGGCAGTCCATTCAAGACGAATGAGGATGGCATCCAGTGCCAAATTCATCCTGGCACAGAGAGTGTAAACATTACCGTTTGGGGTCTAAACACAACTGATGCTGGGCTGTATGTGTGCCAGGTGGAATGGATTTACCCTCCGCCCTACTACTCAGTCCTGGGAAGTGGGACCCAGCTTTTTGTTATTGGTGAGTCAAGAAATCTTATGGTTTCAGCTGATTCTTTGACTAAAAAAGAAAGGAACCGCAAAACAAAATGCTGTGTTTCAGGCATTTGAAGGGTGTTGTTGTTATTTATTCATTCAGTTGCTTCCGACTCTTCATGACCCCATGGATCAGCCCACGCCAGAGCTCAATGTTGGCTGGCACCACCCCAATTCCTTTAGGGTCAAGCCAGTCACTTCAAGGATACCATCCATCCATCTTGCCCTTGCTCTTCCTTTTTCCTTCCATTTTCCCCAACACAATTGTCTTCTCTAAGCTTTCCTGTCTTCTCATTATGGGGCCAAAGTACTTCATCTTTGCCTCTAATATCCTATTTGAAGGATAGCCAGATTGAAAGCTGGAGAGGGCTTCCGTATCTTTCATGATTGTGGAAAAAAGGAATTTCAGCAGGTCTTCCCTGAACTTTCCTCTTCTTCACAGCTATTAAAGATAAAGAGCCCTGCCCAATTTTCAGCCTGACAACTCTATGTTCACTGACCTTGAACACTGTAACTTTGAATTCACCCTGGCAATCCCATTTGAGTCAGAAATATCAGTCTCCATCTACACTTCTCTATAATCCAGTTTCTGAATCCAGATTATCTGTTTTGAACTGGATTATATGGCAGTGTAGACTCATGTAATCCAATCCATAGCAGTTCATTTATATTTTGAAATTGAATTATATGGCAGTGTAAATTCAGCTTCACTGAGGTCAGTGGGATTTGTGCCTATGTAAGCAACTTGATGGTTCCCTTGAGGGGTGCGTAAAAGAGCAATTTTGAAAAACTTTAACTTCCAGGATTGGCCAGAGGATTCTGGGAGCTGTTTTCCAAAAAATATACCTTTTCCAAGCTCTAACCTTAAATCCCTGTAATATGTTGTGTCCCCCAAAAGATTCATGCACCTCACCAAGTGCCCTGATTTGGACTGTCCCTGATTTGTCAGAGACAGTCCAAATTAATCCTCCGCTCTCCCACTTTTTCAGCTCCTTTTATAATGTTCCTGTTTCTCTCTCCTCCTCTTGATTGGCATCTTTGTCCTCAGTTTACTTCAGTTGCTTTCAACTGAGTTCAAAGTGGAAAAAATAGTTCACACTTAGTTTACTCAGGAGGGAGGAGAGGGCCAACTAAGGACAAAGGACAAGAGCATTAAACAAACAAACAAACCAGAAACCTTTCATTATATGATAGCCATAGATTTAGATGTGGCTTTGCAAACACCAGATGAGGAGGTGGGAGGAAAGATTCATATATTTTTTTTGCTTTTCATTTTTAGTTAACTGCTGATTTAGTTTTTTTTGTTAAATGGAATATTTATTTATTTAACAGGTAATTTCAGTGCCTGCAACCCTCCCACCCCTATTGCCCGTTTCCACCATAAAACGTCATTTTTCAATCTGTCAACGTATCAGAAAACTAAAAATTATGTTGTTTTGATGTAATGAAGTGTTTTTATTTTAGGACTGCATAGGAGAGCTGGGTCTTATGATTAGGGAAACTGAGAAAAACATTAAGACATGTTATATAGTACTTAAAATAATGATTGGGAAATCATGTTTTTCAGAGAGAGATCCATGCCCAGCTGTATATCCATATTTTTGGATTTCTGTGACAATTGCTTCTGGATTGCTTGGCTACAGCATTTTAGTCACAATCTACATGATAACAAAGGTGGTAAGTACTATAATGCTAACACGATGTGTGCACATTTGGGAATCATAGAATTGTTAACAGGCAGAAAGATCATCCAGTTAAGCTACATTTTGTGAAGTCGAAACACATGATCAAAACCCTCTTGGTGGATGGCCATCCAGACCAGGGGCAGCTGGTCATCTATTTCAGTTCAAAGCAGATATTCTGTGGTTGCAGAAGAATATCTGTAATATTCCATGGCCTTCCAAAGGTCCACAGGTGATCACTCATTACATTGAACTGATGGGTGATACTGACTTGAGAGTTTATCATACAAGCTGGCAAATGGCAAGGACCACAGGACAATGGTATCTTGGACTTTTCACATGACATCACTCCTTTCCTACTGCGGAAAGCACCCTGGAAAGCTAGTTTCTTTTACAAATAATCCATCAATTATCTTATTTTGTAAAGAAACACATTCTAACAGCCTCCCAGTGGAAAAACAGCAAGAAAGATGAAATGTCATGGGATAGGTCCAAGGCAAAGATACTACTGTTCTGCAGTAATTGCAATTTGTTTTCCACCTTAGTAGACTCTTAGGATTGGTACACTGAGCTGGTCACTGCCCCCAAAATCAAAAAACAGCCTTGTGCTCATTTCTGTTTCTGAGCTTAGCCATTAGACATGTGACTAGGGTTGAACATATGACTGTTAAAAAATGGTTTAGTCTTTGGTCAAAACTTGCCAAATAATGGCTAAATATTTTGAAACATTACCTTTATTGGAATAATAACAAATATAGTGGTTTAGTCTCAACAGTAGTCCTAATTACAGTAAACTCATCAGGATTGATTTAAGTGTTGATTCATCCTTAACAACAGAGGCTGGATCTACACTGCCCTATATCCCAGGATCTGGTCCCAGATTATCTGCTTATTCCAGAATATAAATCAGTGTAGACTCATATAATACAGTTCAAAGTAGATAATCTTGGATCAGATCCTGGGCTATAGGGCAGTGTAGGATCCAGCCTCTACTTCAATTTGGACAAAGCAGTAGGATTTGGGCCCATTAAAACACGATAATAGCGTATTATCATTGTGAATGATTAAATTGATAACTTGTCTCTTTGACTCACACCTGGGTAATCCCAGAAAATATTGATTGTTTACGATTGTGTACGCCGCTCTGAGTCGCCTCTGGGCTGATGTGAGTGGGGTAGAAATAATGAAAATAAATAAAAATAAATTGATGCCATTTGCAAATTGCAGTGGAACTGGGACAAAAATGGAAGTTTGATTATCTAAGTGACACCTAATCCCACGTGTCAGAGAGAAACACAATATTGTTATACATCTGATGTCATACTACTAAGATCTAAGGCAGGGTAGTTTTGAAGAAAGTGGTAGCTGCTTCATAATATCACCAAGCATTATGGTGACGTCAGGTTTATGTTCTATGAAAAGAAATGATGGCTGTCATAGGCCCCTTCTACACTGCCATATAATCAAAGACAATCCACATTATCTGCTTTGAACTGGATTATATAGTCTACACTGCCATATAATCGAGTTCAAAGCAGATAATCTGGATTTTATATGGCAGTGTAGACGGGGCCATAGACTGCAAGTTAAGGAGAGTCAAGAGAGAAGGAAGTTATATAGACATCACAAAATACTTGGAATAGTTTTTCTTTGCAATGACAAGTTATATTTCTTGTATTTTACAGTTACGAAAAAGCATGTATTTTACGCCTGGGATCTACGAGAAAATTATATCGATGTAATCAAGAGATAACTGCAACTGAAAGGGAAGAAATGTTAACTTCTGTGAAGTTTTTATGAAGAAAATGTATTTCCTAATAGATAGGAAAGTAATTTTAAACCTCTTGATTGTGATTGGTTCACAATGAAGAGGGAGGTCTATGCATTAACAGAAATAATAACAAATTTATACGTAGTTCTTGAATTTCTTAGGATTTATCCACACAATTACATGGAGAAAATGATCCTGCATAAGTGATTCCATAGTAGAAATAGCAGCAATTTATTCTGGTTTGAGTTAGGAAGTTCAGCAAAACCAGCACACAGAGTTTGTCCTGTATTGTATTGGGTGAGGTTGCAGGTTGTTTATTTTCTTGATATGTTGTGGCTATTACAGTGTGAGAAAGTTTGACATATTTTAAAAGTCAGGCTTATTATTTAGGCAATCTCAAATCACCAGGGATCACAAAAGCAGGGATATGACATTTATTATCCAATAGCTAATCAGATGCAGATACATGATGTCACAAAATCAAATTGAAATAATGTGAGGAACAGTTGCTTGTAGCCTAAAGAAGCCACCATTCAGTCAGAGATGGTCAGAGAAGTTGGGGACCGAGGTTGAGTCTGTCATCACTGATTCTTCATGAGGAAGGAAGGGAAGGGAATGAAACCCATGGGCACTCTCTCATCTCTTTGGCTGGGCCAATGGGAGAGGAGCGCTCTGATCCCATTTTCCCAGTGTGCTGCTAAACTCTGAATCCAATTTGGAGGTGGTCAAAGAAGGAAGCGTGGGGGCAGCTGGTGAAACGCCAGGGATTCAAGAAAGGTCTGGTTTCTCCTGGTTCCTCTTGGTTCCTCTGGTCCCCCTGGAATCTAATGCGCATCCTATTTTGTGTGATGAAATTTAGCCAAAAAAATGAGTATTGGGCTTTACATTATATACATTATAACAAAAAGAAAGAAAGGTAAGAAAGAGGAAGAAAGGGAAAATTGGACTGAAATTTCTACCTATTCTTTTTGTTCAATTAGCATAAAAGAACATGTTTACTTATCCTCAAATAGAGGATTCACTTCTCCTTCTCCTACTTTTTCTTTTTGTTCCTTTCTTCATCTTGTGCCTAAGAGCCCAAGAGACCTGCCAACCAGGCAGGAGGAGTATCCCAGGAAGTAACCACTGGACTTGACTGTCCCGGAGATGTCACACTTGGTGCCACCTCCACCTCTTCCAACACACAGGCCCAGATGTTCCCTGAGGCCCAGAGAGGCAATCCGCCCTCTCACTCTGGCTTCAGCAGCCTCCTTCCTCCCCTCCTTCTTCCTCCCAGAGACCAGGCTCTTGTAAACAATCCGGATTCAAGAGCCAGACTGGGAGAATGGACTCATAGTACTCCTCTCCCATTGGCCCAGCCAGAAGGAGGGAGAGCACTCATGTGCTTTCTTCCCTTTCCTTGCTTCCTCAGGAGGGGCCAGTGATGATGGAGATATACCCGTCCCCCACCTTCAATGACCTGCTGACTTTGGCTGCCTCCTCCTCCTCATAATTCAGGGTGCAGAGGGGGCTTTCTTCCTTGTCTCAAGATCAGGAAAGGAATGAGGGCTCCAAAATTGGCATTCAAGCCCCCTCCCTTTGTGTGACTTTGGATCCTTCCTTCCCTGCAGCCCCATGGTGGGCTGGTTGTAAAAAGAGGAGAGTGCAAATGGAGAACTGACAGCAGCCTCCTTAAAAGTAGATAAGGAAGGAAGAGTCCAATGTTGTGGAAAGGGCGAGAGAAAGCAAGAATTTAGTCATTCAGATCTGAACATGTGGTGACATCAAAAAACAAAATACATCAGGGAAATGCTTCTGTTCTCCCTAATTGTATCCATTTACCAAGCACACAATAAGTATACATGCGTTTGTGGGATGTTTTCCCCATCTCCAATTCTGAATCTGCTCTAGTTTTGTATTTCTAGCATTAGACCACGGCTGCATCATTTCCATCTTCTCCTCCCTCAAAGAATTTCCTCCACCAGAATGATGATATTGGAAGGCCATCCTTGTTTTCTTTATTCAACCAAGGATCTACCACGTACCACAGCTTTTCATGCTTCACCCCTCCCCATCTTCTTTTCACTTATTTTGTATTTTAAATAAATGTTTTGTAAATAAAAGTATCAAATGCATCTTCATTGGTCTCTTCTGAATAATTGTTTTTTTAAAAAAGCTCATAAGGAAACATAACTCATTGCAGTTGAATGAATGTAAAGTTAGGAGTAATCAGTTCCCAAATGATCACGATTGTGTCTGACTGCAGAAATTAAAACCAGAGCTCAGAACATTAATTAAATGGTTTTTTAAAATAAGAGCTTCATATTCCACCATCATGAGTTCTAACATTATTAATATTCACTGATAAAAGTTTAATTTACTGCAGTAATTATTCTATTAAATCAATTTAAAGGAATCACAGGAAGCCTGCATGCTAGAGCTCTTATTTCTTACAAACCGTACCAATCTGTACACCTGGGGCCCTTTCATATCACACAGTTATTGCATTATAGTTCCACTTCAAACATACCTTCCAACATTTCACAGGTGGAAATGTGGACACACAAGTATGAGCAACATTGGAATGTGGTCAAATGCCAAAGGTTATTAATGGGAACAAAATCCTGTATCTGGCAGCTTAGAAGAGGAGCTCTTGGAATCTTAAAACAGAGAGTTCTTCTCTGGTTCCATTGACCGAAGCACAAACTCCAGGAATCAATAGGATGTACCAATAGCCGTAAAGTGAAATCATAGCTTACATGTGTAATATGAAAAGGCCTCAGAATCCCTATTCCATGCAAGGCAGGCTGATTGGCCGGACAGCTCCCGTAAAGCGACTCACAAAACACAGACAGCTTAGAGAACTTGGCGGCAGAGTCCAAAAACCATAAACAAAAAAAATGTATTGATCAGAGAGTCAGATATACATCACATAAGGAAGATACAAAGCCCACAAACAACCCAGAACAGTAAGCAGGCAATAATATTCCAAAAGGCAAGATTAAGAGTGTAAGAACACATATTGGCAAATAAGTCGCAAGGTACTAACTACAGTGAATGTATTTCAGCAGGTCATATTTTCTTGTCTGATCCACCATCAGCAAAATGGCCTTTCTGGATTTTTTTTTCGCACTAGCAGGTTGGGTGTGGAAAGCAATGTGCAAAATATTATGTGTTTATCTGCAAAGAACCTACCCAAAGACACTTATATACAACTGCAAGTACAAACATGAATTGCTTCTCTCTTCTCTTGGCATATATTTTATAATGAAACGTAACACAAAATATTTCATATATCTACATTTTGCAGACAGTTGATTTTTCCATTTGGCTATGAATCCTGCTTATATAAAGCAATCTGGCATCTTGAGCATGCTTCCCCTTCAGAAACATAGCTTAGAAATATAACTAAATAGTAACGTAAGCAGCTTTCTGACTCTGCAAATTCTGTATCCATGAATTCAACAATCTATGGCTTGAAAACTTTTTCTAAAAAACAAGTCAAAACAAAGCAAAAGGAAAAACAGAAACAAAACAAAAACTAAACAGCATACCTAGATTTTGCTATTTTATATAAGGGCATAATCATTTCATTCTCTATCTATCTATCTATCTATCTATCTATCTATCTATCTATCTATCTATCTATCATCTATCTATATAGAAAAAAAGGTGAGAAGGAGGGGAAAGGAAAGGAAAAGGTATAAGGAGACGGAAAATAAGGTAAGAAAGGAAGGGAAGGAAGAGAAGATGGAAGTATTGCAATGAGGCATCTGGAGGTAAAAGACATATTTGTATGTCTGTCTGTCTGTTCCATGATGGCTGCTACGTGACTTGATGAATCTGGACCAAACATGGCACACATACACATGATGGCACACATACCCATGACAAACTTAAAATATTGGTGGGGGGTTGGGGAGAATGACAGAGGATGATGGGAGTTGTAGTCCAACCACACCCAGAGAGTCTTGTGCATTCCATTCATGACCAAAGGCATTCCTCTCCTCCTAACCAATTAGACAGATCACCTTACTTACCACCCTGCCTCTCCCAACATCCTTATCCCTTCACTACACAGCCTGGGAATTAGGGTATTTTCACCACAACAAAAAGTTAACTTGTCTGACCAGTTAAGAGCAAACCCTCGAGTTCAACATCAGACAGGTTTGGAGCTGGTAGGAATTGCACCCTGCTGGATCTTGGAGGAACAGCTGGCCAGATGTGGACCTGATGAAAGTTGCAGCCTGACTAGGTCATGAGCTGATGAGAGTAGCACTCCATCACTTGTATAGTTTTATAAATGATTCCATTAAATGGTGATGCATTTTTAATGCGACCATTCATAAAATTCAAAACCAAAACAATGACTATTTCTGACAAATAGTATTGCAAAATACCTAACCCAGGCAACACCGGATACATAATAAGACTTGAACATCCATGGATTTTGAAATCCACAGGAGGTCCTGGAATCAAATCCCAACCCCTTTCTTAAAATTAATTGTATTACATTTCCATTCATTTTCATTACAAAATACAATCTCTATAATTCATATGTTTATTTCATTTCCCCCACTGTGCCAAATCCTAATCCTAATGAAGAGCCCACTGTATCCAAAATTAAAATGCAATTAAACTATCAAAAGTTTTCAATCTGTTTTAAAAACCTAGATGGTTCAAAAGGAAATATCAAAGAGAAAATCCAGCAAGTCATGCAAGATCCTTTCCTTTTATATAATCAGTCTTTCAAAGCCTGCTGAAATAATAATTATCAGACTGACAGAGTTTTGGAGCACAATACTCCTGGCCTCATGACCATGTTAAAAAACAGAGCATGGATCATCGATGTTGCAATCCCAGGTGATAGCAGGATTTCAGGGAAACAACTGGAAAAGCTGACACGATATGAGGATTTAAAGATCAAACTGCAAAGACTCTGGCTCAAGCCAGACAAGGTGGTCCCAGTGGTGATCGGCACACTGGGTAGAGTGCCTAAAGACCTTGGCCTGCACTTAAACACAATCAGCGCTGACAAGATTACCATCTGCCAGCTGCAAAAGGCCACCTTACTAGGATCTACACACAATATTCGCCGGTACATCACACAGTCCTAGACACTTGGGAAGTGTCCGATATAATAACTTTAGAGGCTTATCAAGGCAGAGTGGACAAACAAATCCCACCACTGCCACACCACTTTGGCTCTTATAGCGTTTGGGGAATGTCTCTTTATTTTAAAAACCTTCGCTGCCACCATAAACTGAAGAATAACGAACCCTCTAGCTATTTAGAATTCTAAAAGGCTGTTTAAATTATTAAAAGGCTTTTTACTCCACCAAATACTGTGTACTATCAAGGGCTTTCTTTGAGGAGGAAACAAGAGAGGTTGATTTAACAAGGAAAAGGACTCAAAACCAAAAATGGTACTTGACTCAGGCTTAAATTTTAAAAATAACAAGAAAGAGTTTATTGAAATACAAGTTACAGAAATAAAGTGAATGCAGGTTCAGAGGCTTGGCTGTTACAAATAAAAGTGTTCT